ACACAGATCCATTCAATTCTAAAAATCAAATCTACCCACATTATTTAGTTCAGTTCAGACTAGTTCATTGTGTGAAGTTCGAAACGTGTGCGATAATTAGTTGTGATTTTATAAATTTATTAACAAAGTAATCGGACATAATTTCCGCGAATGGAGCAAATCGAGCAGCGTGCCGTCATTAAGTACCTCCATAAGAAGGGGCTATCATCAAAAGCCATCCATGATGACATGGTCAGTACATTAGGCGATTGTGCTCTGTCATATTCATCCGTAAAAAATGGATAGCAGAATTTAAGCGTGGTAGAGAGAGTGTGAAAGATGAACCCCGCTCTGGAAGGCCTTCGACGTCAACTACTGACGAAAATATTAAAAAAAGTACTTGATTTAATAATGGGAGACCGCAGATTAAAAATTAGAGATATAGCCGAGATTATAGGCATCTCTTATGAACGAACTCAAAACATCATTGTCAACGAGTTGGATTTCCACAAGGTGTCTGCGAGGTGGGTTCCGCGACTGCTTTCAGTTGAACAAAAAAGGACGCGATTGACTATTTCACGCGACTGTTTGGAGTTATTTGAAGCCGATGCAGATGATTTTTTGAATCGTTTTGTTACTATGGACGAAACATCGGTTCATTACTGTACACCGGAAACAAAACAACAATCAAAACAGTGGAGAAGACCTGTTTCACCACCCTCTAAAAAGGCTAAGTCGATTTTGTCGGCAAATAAGGTGATGGCTTCAGTATTCTGGGACTCGAAAGGTGTGATTATGATTGATTATCTTGAAAGGGGTCAGACTATAAACTCTGATTACTACTGCACCTTACTACGTCATTTACGAGAGGAAATAAAAAAAACGTCGAGGAATGCTCAGAAGAAAAGTCCTGTTTCATCAAGATAACGCCCGTGTTCACACGTCAGTACAGTCAATGGCTGAAATTCACAACTGTGGCTTTGAACTGTTACCGCATCCGCCGTATTCACCTGATCTGGCACCATCAGACTTCTTTCTGTTCCCTAACCTAAAAAAGCACTTGGGAGGTCAAAGATTTTCGACAAACGACGAGGTCAAAGCAGCTGTAGACGCATATTTTGACTCTAAGGAAGAATCATTTTTTTTTCAACGGTCTAAATGCTTGGAAGGGGAGGTGGCAAAAGTGTATTGAACTTGATGGTGATTATGTAGAAAAATAAAAATATAACTGATTTAGTATGTGTTTATTTTCTTGGTTAGGCCGAGTACTTTTCAATCCACCCTCGTAAAGATAAATGGTTTTGATCAAAACATGCAAATAATTACTGTTATGTAAAATCTAGTTTAGATTACTTAGTTTTTTTATTAAACAAGTCCTAGTTTACAAAAGCTTGCCCTTAAATTAATTTTGCCAAGTTTTTTAATTTATGGGTTAAGAATAAAACACACTCTTTTATTTGAACACCGAATTAAAATAAATTAGCTCAAAGTTTTTGAAACAAATGTTGTATTGTTTTCGGCAACTTAAAAATACGAAGTTCCAAGTACAAAATTATTTACTAGAAAAATGTTAAACAAGATATTGATATGTGTTTTTTGGATATTGATGTGTGTGTGTGTGTGTGTGTGTGTGTGTGTGTGTGTGTGTGTGTGTGTTTTTTTGTGTGTTTGGGTGTGTGTGTGCGCGTGCGTGCGCGTGCGTGTGCGTATGTGTGTGTGTGTGTGTGTGTGTGTGTGTGTGTGTGTGTGTGTGTGTGTGCGAGCAAAAACGGTTCTGTGGGGTAGTTGCTCACATACCCGGTATTCCAGTCTTCCACTTACTTTTGTGCGCAATGCTCCAGTGGGAGCGAGCAATGTCTACGACGTACCATTTGAAGTATGTAGAGTTGCCTGGTTATGAGCACCTCACAGTCTTTATATAGTTGTGTAGTAGGATAACGGTAATACTTTTAGTCATGACCTTTAACACAGCTCTCTGTGCACGCTCCAAATTTAGAAAATGAGTGGGGCATGCCCAAAAATAGACCACTTTCAAGGTTTTTGAGTCTGCCGCATTCCTCAATTTTTAAAAATCTGGAATAATTTTTCGAACCCGAGATGCCATGTTATCTATTTGAGGTGTCCAGGTAAGGGTACTGTCAAGTATAATTCCCAGATATTTTATGTTATCCGTCTGTTCTATTGCCATGCATCCACATTTTGCATTCATCGAATCACAGTGGTGAATTTTGATGTAGGAGGGATCAGATTTAGGTTGTGTTGACTGTTTATGTAAACCAGAAACAGTGTCGGTCCTAGCATTCTCCTCCTTAGCACTGCCTTGAGGGACTCCATAGGAAAGATGTTTATCATCACTAAGAAAATAATCTATTTTGACACATTGTCTGCGTTCTGAGAGATAATCTTGAAAGATGTCTAAAGCCAAACCTCTTATGCCAACTTCATTCAATTTTTGAAGTAGAATGGGGATAGAAACAGTGTCAAAGACCTTTGATAGATCAAGGAAGGTTCCTATTATTTTGAATTTAGTGTCTATGTTTTTAGCTACTAAGTTAACTAGATTCATAACAGCGTTTTCTGTGGATAAGCCACTTCTAAGGCTGTATTGATTTTCTGATATGATATTGTACTTGTTCTAGTAACTAATAAGCCTTGCGTTAAGATTTTTTTCCATTATTTTCGAGAGGGAAGTGAGTACTGATATGGACCTATAATTATTGACACTGCTTTTGACCCCACTCTTAAAGATTGGATGTACCAAAACCTTCTTAATGGATTTTGGAAAGACACCTGACTCAAGAGAACGGTTGCAGACGTATGTTATAGGAGGAATAAGAGTATTTCGGGCAGCGTTAATAATTGCAGAAGAGATTCCATTATAGCCAGTAGCACTATTTGTTTTAAGATTTAAAATTATATTCTCAACTTCTGATTCATCTGTTTCCAATAAAATCATGGAGTTGCCAAGAGGATTATAAGCTGATTTTACAGAGGTTATAGATAAAGCTGATAGTTGTTTATATTTAAAGATTTTGTAGGCTAGATTTGGTCCAATATTTACAAAGAAGTCATTAACCTGATTTATTAAGACAGTAGGATCATTTGTTAGGTCTAGAAGGTCCGTAGAAGGTGATGGTGAAAAGGTAAGATGAGTTATGCTCTTTATGACATTTCAAGTCGCTTTGGGGTCATTTTTAGCTTTTTGAAATTCGTTGCGTTTGTGGAGACATTTTATTTTTTTAATAATTTATTGCAGTAGTTGCGATAACGTAGATATATGACTTTAGCTTTTTCATTGTTTGGGTCCTTTTTCATTTTTCTATGCAAGCTGTCACGGTTTTGTATGCACCTTAGAAGTCCGGATGTAATCCGGGTGTATACGTTCGCTGCATGAGACTTTGACAGACTCGGTGTTTTTTTGATGCATGTATTAATCTTAGAGATTAATAGATCAGCAGCAAGATTAGCATCTTTGGTATCAAAGATTGTTGAAAAATCAGTATTGGCCAATTTGCTTGTAACATTTTGTGTATTAACATATACCCGAGTCTTTTGGTATGGTGTTTGAAGACGTTGACCTAAAAATGTAAGGATGAGATTATGATCGTTGAATTTGAAATTTGACACGATGGTGGTTATCTTAAGGCTAGTTTTCATCATAACGCGATCAAGACAAGAATCATCGTGGTTGACGAACGAATGTGAGGGTAATAGCCCGTGTGATGCCAGAAGATTCAAGTAATGGTCGGGTTTGGGCTCACGTTTATCAGAGAGAATATTGATGTTAATATCTCCAATGATAGTCACAGTTTTCGACGATTTACGACGGATACTTTGCATTTCATTTCTTCTTTAACAAACATAATAACACCATCGTTCTGATTGTGGCAATTGGAACGGTGAGAATTAAAGCCTTGTAGTACAGGGACGTTAACAAATTTACTAAGCCAGCATTCTGTTAATATTATAATATCCACTTTTATATCTATCATGTTTAGGAAGATATAAAGTTCATCAAAATTCTGGTTAATGCTCCTGATGTTAACGTGAAGGATTTTTATTTGTTTACGGTTTGGATCAGTGTGCGATGCGCATTCTTGCGGAGAGCAGATAAAGGATTCATAACAGTTTGATTTGTCTATTTCAGCATTTATTTGATTTATTTCCATGACTTAAGATATTTATGAGTGGTGCATTTTAGTATTACAGTAAGAATTCTGTATTCCTGATTGGAAGTCGTGAGTTCAGTAGGTATCAATATGATTATTAGTTTGAGGGCAGAAGTGATGGTGTATGAATATGTAATATATAAGTTATGTCGTGATAATGAGTGGGATGTGTGTAAGACTGATTGTGTTTGATTGTTTTGTGTAAGTATGTTCGGTACCGTGTACATATGGTTAATATAAGAAGTAAGTAAGATTATGCTACCGTATACTCAGTTGTTCACATTTACCAGCTTAGCTAAATCAAGTTCCGAGTTCACGCATATAAGCTTTTCTAACTCTCTTTTGTGTAGAAACATTATTCCATGGGTTACCCAAAAGCAAAATGAATAATCGTTGCAGTTTGCAAAATCACGAGCTAGGAAAAATAATATTCTTGATTTTGGAGTTAAGTTCTCGGAGGCTGAGCCACTCCTTTGATATGTATATTTAATGTACTAAATCCATTCCCTTTATGAGCTTTGTTAAAGTTTTTTAGGCTTTTCAAAATCCTTTCTTTAACCCTAGAATACTAATCTGAGTCATTTTGACTCGCACCGCACATATTTCTTGCTATCTCTCTCTAAAGAACGCGCGGATCGTCACGATTCTTTGTGTCAACACAGTCGTCGGTAAGACGTTTTTGGGAGCGATAGCGTTGTGCAGGTAAGTGTCTCCATTTTGTAAATACGACGTACTTCAGAGTCGAAATGACTCATGATTAGTCTTTGTGTAACTTTTTGAAGTTTAGCATACAGCGGTGTTTTGAGTTATTGCCTGTTTTTATTGACTTTTTTATCTGTTTTTAGATTAAAAATGTCTTCGTCACGTCCAAGCGGTGGTCGAAATTTCACGGACGCAGAATTGGCCAGATATCTGAACTATAATGGTGTCACTAGTGATAGCGATGGCGAAACTGAGGGGAGTGAAACTGAGGATTATTTGGAGGTTGAGGATTCTGAACAAACTGATGAAGACGACGAGCCAATGGAGGTAATATCTACCAGTTCACCCAGAATAGAATCACCTGTTACTCTCGAAGAATCTACGAGTAGCCAGAACACAGACATTTCACGTGATACATGTATTATTTACTTGCCGCAAACGGTTTTGCGTGGGAAAGACAGGCATGTTTGGTCTACGAAAAAGCCTCAATCATTGAGAACTCGTAGTTCTAATATTGTACGAATATCACGAGGTCCAACTTCTCAATGTCGCCGTGAAAATGATCCTTTGCAATGTTTTAAAATGTTTATTACTGACGAAATTATAGATGAAGTTGTACAATGGACAAATCCTGAGATTATAGTAAAACAGCAAAATTATTCAGTCATTAGAAACACCCAGAAAACAACCGATAAATGTGAAATTAGGGCATTAATTGGACTTCTTGTTTTAACCGCTGCTTTCAAAGACAATCATTTGTCAACCGATGAGTTGTTTGATGCATCTTTTTCTGGTTCAAGATATGTTACCACGATGAGTAAAGATAGGTTTGAATTCTTGATACGATGTCTTAGATTCGATAATAAGTCTCTAAGATTATCTACCCAAAATAGGGACAGATTTGTACCTATTCAAAAAGTATGGAATCTGTTTATCGAGAAATGTAAAACAAATTATAATGTTGGAATGTATGTAACTATTGACGAACAATTACTAGCTTTTAGAGGGCGATGCCCTTTCCGCATGTACATACCCAACAAACCGGCGAAGTACGGTATAAAAATTGTAATGATTTGTGATGCCGGCACCAAATACATGGTAAATGCAACCCCCTATTTAGGAAAAGCTACCGAAACCGGAGGACTGCCTCTTGGTGAATATTTTGTGAAACAGTTAACCCAACCTTTACATGGTTCAAATAGAAACGTAACTTCAGATAATTGGTTCACGTCTATTCCGCTCGCTAATTCTCTTCTTTCTCAACCATACCAACTAACTTTAGTGGGTACTTTGCGTTCGAATAAAAGAGAGATACCCAATGAATTGCAAAACTCAAGAACTAGAGCTACTGGTACTTCAATTTTTTGTTATGATGGTCCTTTAACACTATTGTCATACAAGCCCAAACCTAACAAAGTGATTCATTTATTATCATCGTGTTCTGAAGAAGGATCTGTAAATGAACGAACAAAGAAGCCAAATATGGTAGAATTTTATAATCAGACGAAAGGTGGTGTTGACACTCTAGACCAAATGTGTTCAAATATGAGCTGTAGCCGAAAGACTAGGAGATGGCCTATGTGCCTTTTTTATGGAATTCTTAACATTGCTTTCGTAAACAGCTACGTAATATACTGCGAAAACAAGCTCAGTGCCAAAGAAAAGCCGCTAAATAGAAAAACATTTATGCGTGAGTTGCACATGCAACTTGTTAATCCTTTCCTCGAGAAACGACTCTATTCCAACCCTATCAAAAAGGCTTAGAGACAATATCCAGGATTTGGTGCCTACAAATATAGGGGAAGGCAGCAGCCAACAAAAAGATGAACCTGATGCAAAAAAAAGGAAAAGATGTTCACTTTGCTCCTACAAAAAGAACCGCATGACTAAAATCAGATGTATGAAGTGCCAAAAAAACATATGCGGGGAACATAAGATAGAAATATGTGTTAATTGTGCCAAATTAGGATAATTTCTCTTTTATATAGTTAATTCGTTCTTATTTTATTTTAATTAATTATAAAAGAAGAAGGTTTTTAATTTATGTTATTCTTTTTTTTTAAATTATCAGATTCATGATTGTGATCTCAAAAAAGTATTAAGAGAGTAAAACTATTTTTTATATAAATTTTTCTTATATATAAACATTTTTTTTATTTAATACCTACATAAACATAGCTTATACCTATATAAAATAAAAATACAGACAGAAAATTGGTTTTGATGTTCAATTTATGTACTCATTCATGTGTAGTCAAAATGACTCATGATTAGTATATACGTTTGTAAAATATGATTAGTATTCTAGGGTTAATAAGTATACTATTTAAGTTACATATAATAGCTTTCTGCGTCAGTATTTTTTGTGTTGATTCTGTAGACATCATATACATCCGAAGCAAACTCTTCTACATTCAGGGCATTCGATATGCTCAGTACAATATTTAGAAGGTCTTCTTTGCTTTCTGTGTTCGACACCGGCATTGCGAATCTCAATACTTAAGCATCTACCTTGTCGTTCCATGCCCTCAATCCTGTTCTGCAGGGTACGTATGTAAGCAGTGATTTCTTTCTGTTCGCTCTCTATTTTTTGCACTTTCTTTTTTAATTTGGTATTCTCGTGCAGAAGATACTCCATAGACACGTGTATAGCATCGTTTTGCTTCCTTATTTCATGTGTAGTTTTCTGTAAGGAGTTAAGTTTCTCTTTTTACTGTACCTGCATCCCGGAAATAGAATCCTGGAGGGCATAAAAATTTCGATTTTGCTCATTTTTTAATTCCCTCAGGAGGTTCATCATGCCATCCATGAAGTCATGGACTCCTCCTCTCGAAGACGCTTTGATCTGATAGTCACGCTATCAAGAACACCACTAAGGTCGGTTTCAGACTGGTTGCAATAGGGGGTTGCAGTGGAGGTAGAGAAAGCAGCAGTGGAGAGAGGGGGGGTTCATTTTAGTGGCATATTTATTGGATTTATATAAGGGTTTAATAAGCAGGTAGGAGGTCACAGATTAAATTTCGGTGCACAGAGAACAGCAGATTCTCAGTTTTTTTTATCGAAGCACTCGTCCCCGGACACACAACTATTAGGGCCGTATAACACTGTAGGAGATGAATATTGATTTTTAAAATGTTTATTTAAGGTTCAAGAGAGACACTTAGCACTTGAAATAACCAAGGAGTTCCCAATATTCAGGAGAGTAGTCCAACAACACTTAGTGCACTATTTTAGTCAACTTAAGAGATCAAAGTACCAGGCACGCATAAACTCAGCATAGTCTCATCATAGTACACAATTAGTTAGTTCATTTTGTACTTTTAAGTCTGCGGTATTCGTTCAATGTATTTCAAAGGTACCAGGGCAACAGAGCCGCAGCAGAGATCGTTCCGTAGCGGAGTACGTAGTGTTGACTCGTAGCACAGTTCATAGTGTGCTACGATAAACAGCCGTTTCTACTGAATAGTGGGATGGGCTTGAGGCACTGCTACGGCTATTGATTCGACAAAATAACCTCTTGTTTGTTTATACGGAGTGTATAAACAAACAAGAGGTTATTTTCGCAGCACTGATTTATTCGTTTAATTTTAATTTAATATCAAAAATAAGACAATAACAGATCCAATACACGAGCACTCCATGAGTGGTCCGAGAGGGAAGGGGAATCGACTACCACCTGCGATTTTTCCGGACCGATACGACTTAGGGACCTTCAAGAAAAGAGCCTACTCCTTTTTAAAAGGGCGGCAATGGGCGGCGGTAATCATTTACCATCAGGTATGCTCTGCTGTATGCTCATTCGCCTCCACTTCTATAAAAAAATGTTACAAAATATTATGATGGATATGCTGGTACCTAACCCAGATTGACTACCCTTCGCCATTGCTTCTTCATGACAATGCCCAGCTACAATCTGAACGCCTAATTCTCTCAAATTTGGAACAGCTAAAACTAGACCTTTTTGTTACGCCCAGAAGCAAAGAAGGGCTAGGACCTCTCTCTAGGACTCGGAGAGAGAGTTTTTTGGCCTGTGGGTCCAGTCCTCTTACCAGCGCCCAAGTATAGCACGTAAGGAGCATGGTCGACAATGTCGGGATAGTGGGTGGCAGGAAGAGGGCTACAGATATTCAGGTTGAGACAATAAATTATATCAAACAGCACTTTGCCACTACTAGTAGTAGTGAGGCAGGTCCATTCAGTATGACAGACACTTGCCTAAAAGGCACGGGGGGTAATGTCAAAGTCGATGCCGAAGGCGAAGATTTGGGACTGTAGGAATTGGGCAAATAGGGCCTTAATATGGCTGAAGTCCATCATGGACGTGTTAAGTGGACTGGGGATAGACGTTTAAGACTAAAATACTTAGACTCCGTTTTATGAAAAGATCAAGGGATTTTTCTGAAAAGAACAATCCGTTGACGTTCTAAGGACAAGATAAAACAGAACAAATAATACCAAAAAGTATTTTCAGAATTTAGTCAATTTTTGGTAGTAATTTTTATTCCGAAGTAATTAATTTGTAGTACGGTGTGCTGGTATAAAAACGGTACCTAATTCACGCGCGCTTGTACTGTTTAATTTTGTTTTTCTTTTTTTAAACAAAGGAATAAAAATATATGTTAACTGTGTTTCCAATATGACCTAAAAATAACAGAAACTATCATCTAAAATCTATACAATTTAGCATTTTTTTGAGCGCAGTTTTATATTTCATAAAATTTTCGTTGGTATGTCTGTCTCTCCGTCTTCGGAATGGCTAAACCAACTGTAAAAACTCCGAGAATTGACAGATAAGAATGTCAATAGCTATCTAGGCCATATATTAACCGAAAAACTTGGAGATTTTTTTGAAAAAGCAAAGAGGACTCGTAAGTGCATCCTAACCAGGCGAAGCTCGGGCTAGTCATTAATACAATATATGTTTCACATGGTTTCATTTTGGAATCTGCAAATTGCAAGTTTGCATAGCAATTTAGTGTCTTAATATGTTTTTTATTTATCGAGAAGATTATTTTGATTTGCGCTTCTGTCTCAACACATCCCAATAAATAAATAAATCAATATATCATAATTGATCACTTGTGCTTACGGCATTAATTTGAAATTTACTATAACGCTAAAATCATTTTATCGATGTGAAAACTTCCTGGGAAAATCTTCTTTAACCGCATGTCGCCAGCACTTGTTCTTTGTAAATTATAACAGGAGCAAACGAGCTTTATATATTCAATTTATATAATTTATATATTCAATCTGTTCAATTTTTTAAATGTTTTGTAAAGTCCAATAATTACATAAATGTTTATTTATAGATGTTCAAAAATTAAAATGCACACCAACGTCGCCAAGAGTCATCAATTCTCTTACTGCCGATATTCATATACTCATATAAGTACCAAAATATATATCGATCAGGAATAGCTGACGAAAATGTTATACCGAAATTGTTAATATTTGTCACTTCTCGTTTAACGTAAACGTCGTAACGTTTTAGACTTTTTCCTGTGTCGTTAATCTTTGAAAACAATTTTTTTTTTGGAAAAGCTCGTTTGCTCCTGTTATAATTTACAAAGAACAAGTGCTGGCGACATGCGGTTAAAGAGGATTTTCTCAGGAAGTTTTCACATCAATAAAATGATTTTAGCGTTATATTAAAGTTCAAATTAAAGCTGTAAGCACAAGTGATCAATTATGATTTATTTATGGTCGCAGAATAACAACATTAATATTCTTAGGTTTTTAACGTTATATAAGAAAAGAATTTTAAAAATATTAAAAATAAAGGGATGAAAGATCTTTTTTCGGTTATTATTAATTGAATCAGTATGTCAAAAGTAGATAATTTTGCAGAATGTTACGTTGTTTAACTGTAAAAAATTCAATGTTTGTCAACGTTGAACGTTATTTCTGAAGCGCGCCTTTATTATGGTAACGAGAAACGTGCCACAGACATTTAATATTTCCTACGCATCCCCTGACGAAGGGTAAATTTAACAATCGTATAATTAAAAAAATCTTACGTTTACGTCTACTAAAAATTTTCGTTAAATTTCTTACTGTCAGAATCATACCCTCTTTTACCTACCGCTTAACGCATAATTATAAAAAATGCAGCTAATGCATAATCCGATGCTGAAAACTGTTTCATTATATTTGATATAACTTGAAGTTCTATTTAAAATATTCGTATCATATCGCGAATGCCAACAAACATAATATCTTTATTTCTATCCTAGTAGTATACACATGCAAGCAAAAACATATTGCCTCTTTTGTGTCACGTTCTGTCGTTTCTCCTTATCGTACATTTCCTGGTGGAACATTAGTGCAAATTGCTTTATATGTTCCTACAAAGAAATTTTGTTCTGGAAATGACTCTATATTAAGTGCAAAATATGTTTTCATAGCTTAAACGTGACGAAAATAATGCATGTTTAATCATAAAAATATAAATATGAACATATACTTTCTTTTACCTGTTTTTGTGAACAAAGTGAGAGATATCGATGGGTGTAGGTGGCTCTCATGGGGAGGGTTTTATTTAATCATAGCCTTGTAAGGAGCTGTTATAATGGTGATGATTTTTTTTGGGTATGACACCAAATCATAAATTAATTTCTAACTATTCAACATAGATTTTAAATGGATATAGTATAAAATTACTTATTGTAAGTAATTTTAAACTATTAATGCTAAAATCCTTTTGGTTGGTTATATTTTTAAATAATATACAGCAGTCGTAAAATTATTTATAAAATTTATATTAGGTAGTTCAGAAGCGATCAATTCATTCCTGGGAGTTATTACCTACCATGTGGCTATTTTTACTATGATCCAGTTTTTGTTTAGTAAAAAAAAATGTGTTGATGATTGATGGATCTAGTATATTTTCTACGACTGTTGTAAAATCATAATATATTATATTAGCCCATGAATGAATTACTGACTCTGTGGAGTCCAGTTACTTGTACCACTAGTTTATATTTATTCCACGTGTTTACAAAATGTATGTTATTTATATTAGAAGTACTTTTGTTTCATAATCAGGCATTTTTTTTTTCAAAATATACATGGAAGATAATAAGTACTAAAGTTAAAATCAAACTTATTTCCTAGTTTTTTTTTCTCTCAGTGACCCAAAGAGGTTTAAGGTTATAAATGGCTCTCATGGCCCTCTTCTGAAAAATGATATATTATATACTTTCCCAATCATACCAACTTTCCCAACACCTAAAATTAAACATTATGCTATGGAAATTAATAAACTACAATAAAATTATCTAGATAAAGAGCAGTCAGATGGCGGATTAGAATTTGCGAGCGAGTATCCATCGGTCGCCTATTATGAGACCTACGAGATGATAATGAAGAATTAGAAGAGAAGAAGGAAGAAGTTATAGAAGAAGAAATACTTGACATTTATAAATTTTAATATAGCTCTTGTTTATGCGTACACATTATTCTGCATAACAGACCGAATAATGAAAACAAAATAATGAAACT